GGATGATGCCTTGTGCAATGAGGGGTCTCATCGGGCGATGCCTTGTGCGATGAGGGGTCTCATCGGACAATGCCTTGTGCGATGAGGGATGATAACAGATTGGAGATGTAATGTAAATTAGACATCAATACACCATCAAATATCATACAACAGAGTATACTACTAGAACTGTAATACTCATATCTATCAAAACAATGTAAAAACTCACCTTTGCCTATGACCTTGATGAATTCTTTTTGCCTGCTTTCCTTTGATCACCACAATGCTAAAGTTCTTTCCAAAATTCCCAAAACTTCTCCCAATTCCATATTACTTACTATATATAGTAAGTAAAGTAAAGGCGGTGCATGTACATGTACGCCCTCTCCCACCCCTTCATATGAAAAATATCTCTCCACAAACCTTATTGGACCAGGATTTTTTTTATCACAAGGAGGTGACCTAAGTTTCATTACTGGTCCCTCAACTTCTAATAAATATTACCTCTTACCTTTGAACTTTCCATTGTTATTTATATTCGAAAACCCAACCAGTTATAACTTAACACCAATCACTACAAATTGCTTGCTTGAGTTCATTTACTTAATTCATTTGAATTAAATTACTGCATTCATTTGTCACCTAGATGTGTCATGCATTTTTTGAATTATGTGTTTAGATATGGACTTAACTAAAAACTTCTATTCTTGAAGATGGTGAACATGAATCAACTGTTACTATATTTGGAATTTGTCTTTGTGATTTGTCTGTGTAGTTTTCTCTTTTATGTTTTGTTCCTATCTTCGGCATGTTTCTTTTCTATCTTGCAGCTACTTGTATACACATTTTTCTTTGGTTTATTTCTGGTGTACAAGAAAAACTTATACCCCGCCACATTCAGCAGGTACACAACTAGTACTTTATTAAGAAAAATAATAATACATTATACTTGATAACATAACATTCGGTAGTGGTAGTGGACAATATAGTTGTTAGTAACGTTTGTATTTTTACCAGTTTTAAACCCAAAATCTCACATAGCCTATAGGTTGTGATATCTTTTTCTTACCATTATATCAAAACTCGTCCTTTTTATTAAACTACGTTGAACATTTTTTCAGAAAAATATCACAAGGCAAAGCATATGTTTAATCAAAATTATATGGCAATTAATAACCTAACAGAAAACTTAAGAATTTAGTTGATCAAAATTATATGGAATTTTCCCCCTGTTTCGTCTTTTCAACGCCATTCTAAAGGTCGATCATAAACTATTAGGTCTAGTTCTGAACTTCTTTTTCTTGTTAATCGTATATCTAAATGTCACAAACACTTGTAATACAAGTTTGTTTACACCAAAAGACCGATTGTCAGCAATCAAAGCCTATAGAACATGCCATTTTTTTGAATTAAACTGGATATTCAACCCGCTATGCGAGCCGACTAATTCCAGGACAACCACCTGCTTTGCAGATAGCGCGAAATCACCGCATTTGAACCTTCGTGACCACAAAGAGGATTTTTATTCCTCATTGGATTTGAATCTGAGACCTCCAGAAACTTTTGACCTTTGGAACCAAGCGCAAACCAATCAGGCACTACCCTTGTGGTTATAAAACATGCCATTTGCACCAATATCAATGAAAATCAAAGATTTGTTGTACAATTCTAATAAAAACCTATATCGATACAACTTAGTAATTTAATGATTTTCAACCACTATCTTATTGTTATTTTATATATGTTTTTATCCCATTTTAAATGCCAAAAAAATATTTCATATAGCAATAATCTTGAAATAATCATCTGCTTTCTTTAAAGGATTAATATTATCACACATTTGGCATCGTTAATCTACTACGTTCACGCAACATGTCTAATTCACATAAATCGAACGAACCACTTACTACCTCAGGATATGATTTAATCAATTTTAAATTTATATTAATATGTAAAAACATTATATTTTATAAGAAAAACATTATATTTTATAAGAAAATAATATATTTAAAATATGACAATTATTACAAAATAATCTAAATATAATGGTAGGGGCCCAAATAGCATGCATCTTCTTACAGATGTTTTATAATATTTATATTTATTTGATCGACTTAAATTATATATTTAATAAATTATAAATCAAATATCTATACTATATTACAAAGCATTTGACAAAAACTTTTAGAAACCATTTTTTTATGCATGAAATTTTGTATATGGATGCATATTACTTAAAATTCAAGATTATAAATAAATTATTCATAAGTACAACTTATTAAAGCTCCATGTTTGAATTCGCGTAACTAAATGTGGCTAAACATCTCATTTTAAAATATAAAAAATCTAAAATATAATTAGAATAATTATCGAGTTCTAATAAAATAATTAATTATTATCATTGTAAGAAAATTATATTATTAAACCAAATATAAATTACTTCGTTATTAAACCTAAATTAAATTATAATAAAAAATTTGAATTAAAAAGTTACACAAAAAAAATAGGAATTTTAAATAGTTGATTTGATACTAATATCGATATATTTTTGTCAAAATTTTATGATATCTTCACATTTATATTTTATTCAAAAATAAAAACATTATTTTTTTTTTTCAAAATCACATAAGACCATACTATAACATCGACTGAGATAAAAAATAAAATGAAATATTAAAATCAAGATGTATTTTGCTGCATTGCACGAATAACCTTCTAGTAACAATAAAAGCAAACAAAATATATTACATATCTAGTCCTTATGGTTTGTATTTCTTGTTGATGTAGTCTACAATCTATAATTACAAAAAGTTCCTTGTTGTTGGCATTTTGCTTCGGATATAGTCCCCAAAGCTAACTTCCATAAATTGGCTTTGTTAAGAGACCGTTTACCAAACGATTAACGGACAACAATAGTCAGCGCTCTCACTTATCTTATCAGATCATTAAAATAAATTGTTGATAAATGTCTCTTATCTGATAAATGTTAACTGAGTAATAGTCTTCTCTTTCACTTACCGGGTAAAATTCTCGATCCGTGTCATTCAAACCCTGTAAGTTAAGTAACAACTAATAAATGTTGGTAAAGAGTTTTTGAAAAAAGTTAAACTCTTCTAACTTATAATAAATTGATAAGTGCTTTTGTAGAAAAGCATACATTGTTTCAAATAAGCAATCCCAAACACCCCCAAAAAACTAAATAGTTAAACAACATGCATAAATTAAATTTTATAGTCAATCAATAATACTTTATTGTCTTGAATATATTTTAGGTTATTATGTATTGTGTAAAGAACTCGTTTAATTAATTCATATTATTTTAATTTTTTTTATCATTTTAAATATTTATCAAACAATTTATTTCCATTCAACACTTATGTAGACATAATGTTAAAATGCTAATTTTTGTTGTTCCGATTATTTATTTAGAACAAAAATCAAACAATATATTATCTTAATTTATTCAGACAGATTAACATTTAGAAATAACTTAATAGATTCAGATTTTAATGGATAAAAAATCAAACAACTCCTAACTCTAGTTAAAAACATAAGTTAGTTAAGTACATTTTTGTCATTTTACTTTTTTTTTTTGTTTTATTAGATAATATCTAATATTTATACATTTTATTTAATACTTAAAATATAAAAACATTGTTTTTAAATTTTAGCATAAAAATGTAATATTTAATTTTTTGGGTAAATCTTCAAAGTTAATAGTTTTTATCGATTTGCAAATGCGGGTATTTTAAATTTAGTTAAAAAGTTTAGTTATTATTTTATTTATTTTAAAATAACATTAAAAAATAATATATTTAACAAAAAATAAATAAATTGGTATATTTCATTTTATGAATAAAAAATTAAAAAGATAAATCGGTAAATACATAAAGAACACCGTCATAAATATTCCATGTTAATCATTAATCGACATCAGCATCAATTTTATCATTTCAAGTCTCGACATAAATTCTTTAATAATATATTTTTATAAGAAAATTTAGTTTTATTTTGAATTTATAACGATTAATTAATCGTTATAATGAAAATGTAATTTTGCAAATTGTGTATTTAATATGATACGTTTTATTTCAATTATACAACTCAAAAAATACAAAAATATAAAAAAAAACAAAGAATAACAATAATTATTATTTTATTACGATAAACTCGATTATAATTTTTTTGTGAAAAAAAGTTAAATATATTCATTATAGATACTGAGGTATACAAATGTTAATTTATAAGATGTTTTTATGTGAAAGTTGTATTGAAATTATTTAAATTAATTATCAACCAATATCCAATGTTGGATTTTTTTTAGCCATTGACGAGCAAAACAAAAAATTAGATAATACAGAACTGCATTTTGATGTACAATAGAGACATAAAACAACATAAAAGATAACGTCGTAAAAGACCAAAATGCCAAAATAAAAAAACATTTATTTTTAATAATATAATATGATATCGAGTACACTACAAACTAGGTCCACATGGTTCGTTGATATTAACATTTTTCTTCATTACAGTTTCAAAGTTACAAGATGACCATCGTGATTTGTGAAAACATCTGAATTTGGTTTGTGACCATTAACAAATTCTGTTAACATAATTTCTTAACGGCTTTTAAAGAGAAAAACCAAGTCTCAACGTTTTTGCAAACTACGATTACCATCTTGTAATTTCAAAAAAAAATGTTGTCCCGGACAAATTATAAGAACCAAATTTATAGTTTTTTTTTAATTTAATAAGTTTCATATTATTAAATTAACATAAAAAAGTTAAGAGTGGGTGGACAAATATGTCGATAAAAACTAAACAAGTAACAAGTACAAAAAAATAGAAGAAAGTGGGGCCCATTATCATCTTCCTGATTCTTTGTTATTCGATAGTTTATACCTGAAACATTTTTTTTTTTTATTACAAATTTAAAAATATAATATTAATTTAAATTTATCCAAAAACCAATTTTTATTTAACGTTTAAAATCCAAATAAATCAATATATGCAATATAAAGTAAAAAGGTTAAAGCAACTGGGTCGGGTCGGGTATCATTAATTACATATGCTTCGTATATATTTAATATTTTTCTTTTTTCTTAAAAATACAGAAAAAGAAAATCAAAATTCATGCGCATGGAGTCTGATGACTGATGTTGACACTCGTACCGGAAAAAGTTCAAATCTCAACAAAGCAACCCGATTGAACGAACCCGGAGAACTCATCCGGAGCACCCACTTTAATCAATTTACGATTCTGCCCTTGTTTCAATTTCTCCGCTACAAAGAAGGTCTGCGGTGCACCCTGGTAAGCCGATCCAGTGACCAAGGTCCGATCCCCAAGGTCAACCCCGCATGCCCCGACTTGAATAGCGGGATCCGACTCAGCCCAGCAGGTCAAATTCCCATTCTGCCCTACCGTAACGCACGCCCTCGGACACCTGCTGCCTCCCCAAGCCTCCTCCACGCGCCGCCATCTTCCGGTTGTGATGTCCAGAACCTCCGCCGTGTTTTTGAACCGACCTTGGCTGTCAGTGTCGTACCCACTTATCACCATGAACTCCGACCCGACAAATACACCTTCACACTCATCACGCTCCTCACTCATCGGAGCTAACTCTGTCCACTCATCGGCGGAGATATCGTACACCCACGCGCTTTTCAGCGCGTTCTTGCTCTCGTCGTGTCCACCCGCGACGTAGATTTTCCCATCATACGCGCCGGCAGCGAAGAACGAACGATTGGACGGCATGTCGGTTCGCTGAGTCCACCTCCGAGTCGTGAAATCGTACACGAAAACATCACGCAAAGGCTCCCAACTCCCCGGATTCCAACCACCCATCATCACCAGCTTCCCCTCCGAACTCTCCACCTGGCAAAACAACGGCAACCCATCGGGGTACTTGGGAACCGGGTCCACCTGGTCCCAAATTCCAGAACTGGGTTCAAAAACGGTCAAACCATATTTAGGCTGATTCTCCGGTTTAGGGTTAGAAGCAGCGGCAGGGAGCGATTGAACAAAACAAGCGGTTTTATGAGTGAACCCAGATTGTTTCCGGTGATAGTAGAAGTCTTTGCAGAGGAGGAGGCGTCGCCACCGTTGACAGACATGGGAGGCGACCTCGTGGACACCGTAATACATCCGAGTCAAACACTGGAGTGCGATTTCTTCCGGTAATCCGGGAATGAGCTCAGTGAAATCTTCCATGAACAAAAATTTGAAACTTCTAGAAGAAAAATGGGAAAGGGAAAGGGTTGATGGATGAGATTATAAAAGAAATGGGATAGGGTTATATAGGAAGAAAAATATCATAGTATAGACAGGGATGCAGTACGGGAATAGTGGTCGAATGCTATCTTAAACGGGTGATTCTCAACTTTCTTCTTGCAGCACTTGCAATCTGTCTTTTTCTTTTTCTTTTTGGGTTTTTTAGACCTTTTTTTAACCTCTAACTTTTTTCTCAGGTGAGGTTTTTTATACGGTGTCAATGATTGTTTGTTTAAGTTTTAATAGTTTTATTAATAGATAATTTTTATATTTTTAAAAGTTAAATCTTGTTTGACAAAAAAGGTCTGTCTTTTAATAGTTTTAAAACCCTTTAAATGATTTTGTATCATGGATCTCCCTTAACCATTAAGAACCCTAATTTCATTGTATACAATTACCAAACAATTATATTTCATTTTGCACTATATCATGAGAGTTTTTTAATCATTTTGACCACTTAATCATTCTGCACCAAACCATTCAATAATTGTCAAACAACCCCTAATTTTTTGGTTGTAAGATTTTTTTGTGAGATTTTTCGTAATAGCTGATAACACAATTTTTATTTTTGTTTGTACATATTTTTAAACTTAACTTTTTTATTTTTATATAATTTTTACGGATTTCTTGAAACCAATTTTAAATTTTTATTGTACATTCATTCCTCGATATAAATAAATATGTAATTGCATTAATTTTAATAATATTGATTTTCATAAATAAAAATATAAAATATATAAAGTTTTAGAAAATATTGTGGAAAAACTTAGAAGAAAAACCAATAAAATGTTACATTTTGAATCATTAAGTCCTTGAACTATTATTTTAAATGAAAACCATTGGACTCTATCATTTTGAATGATTAAGTTCATGAATATACATTCTAAATAAATAAGATATAGAACTTTTAAAAGTTGGTTATCTACATCATTTTAATAAAAAGAAAAACTATATGTAACTGACTAGGAAGACTTTAAAGTTAACAAAACATAAATCAGTTTTTACCGTTTCCAAATGTTACGTCATTCAAACGCCTTGCACATAACAACATTGCTCCCTCTCATCACTCATTGTTACCTCATCGTTGTATGTTCTCCATACTATCCATCATGCATCGTTGACCCATGCCATCAATATTTTTTTTATATGTTAGTTTTGTATTTCAATTCTTCCTTTACAACAATTTAATGGAACACATATAAGCATATAAAAGGATGGAGAATGGAAAAAAAACGATCAAAAAGAGGAAGAACGATGGTAGGGCTGTAACACTGTGGTTACAACATGATATCAGAGCTGTAGTTTAAGTGAACTAGGTATCAGTAAGTGGTACTTAGACTTAAACTAGGCATTCATGTTGTATAGTAACTAGACAATGATTATACGGGATATGGACCGCCAAGAAAGACCCACGTTGGGTAGGGGACCAGGAATAGGAAATTCTGTAATACTCTGCGCATTATAAATCTTTCAGTACAATGGCCGATGGTGATGCCGCTAGTCACAACCCATCAAATCCCAACGTTGAAGAGAATGCTTCAAATCTTCCCTTGAATGACGATGAGACGTTGTTGTCTCCTCGAGGTGAGCAATTGATGAGAAGGCTCAAGACATTCATATAACAAGCTATGAAACAACAAAAGTACGATGTTGAGAAACAAGTTTAAAGGAAAAGAAAAAGTCAAGGGCGACATGTCAAAGCCCAAAACAGATTGTGTATCGTTTAAAGAGTTTCGTAGCAGCGGTGCCACATAATTCACTGGATTCGTTGATCCTGTGGTGGCAATTCAATGGCTGCAAAATAACGAAAAGGTGTTCCGGATCACATGGGTCTAGAACGAGGATAAAGGGAACTACACGACTATTATGTTCATTGATCAGGCTTTTACTTGGTGGGATGCTACATATGAATCCTTGAGCGAGGATATAAGGGATAATATGACGTGGGAGTCGTTTAAGACCCAATTTCATGATCAATAATGCTCGACGGATTTAGAAAGAAGGTTATAGAAAGAGTTCTTGGAGCTAAAATAAAGAAATTTGTCGGTGATTGAATATGAAACACAGTTCAATCAGAAGGCATAGGTTGCCTTATGATTCTTGACATCTGAACGCGATCGAATTGTTCATTTCGTAGACGGACTGCGAAGGGAGATCGGAGACTTTGTTGTTAACCATGATATCCCTGACTTTAATAGAGCCGTGGAATATGCTCTACGACACGAGCATGACTTGACGAGACGTGAAGATGATCCGATCCCCTCATAAAAAAGACAATGTAATGAGGGAGCATCTTCAGTACCCGCTCACTGTCCATCTTGTTTCTCCAATATGAGGAGAACCCATTTTTAGACTACTCCACGAACATCATCACAAACTTTTAGTCTACATGTATACTTGTAAATTGAATACTTATCGCTTATAAATTATGAACTAAATGTGATCTATTATAGCTGAACATGCCACGAGATTGTCGGAAATGTGGCAAGAGATACAATCGTCGGTTGATATTGATCGGTCTGCAGTCAAATGTTTTTGTTATGGCGAGGCAGGCCATGTCTACACGAATTGTCCTTAGAGGGAAATATCATGTTATTCTTGTGGCGTGTTGGGTCATCGACAATGGGATTGCCCCGCATGAAACAGGACAAAAGTAAAGCATCTGGACAACGACTAGTGACTATTGGTACTTTCGTTCAAAAGAAGGAGGTACCAAAGCAAGAGCCCGTGCATTTTAGGTTACTCTGGAAGAAGCTCACGAAGAACTCAATGTCGTTACTGGTATTCTCTTGTTAAATTCTAGACCAACACATATTCTCTTTGATTCTTGTTGGTCCCTTGAGGGTCTACAAGATAAGTACAACAGTTTGTAGAAGGGGGGGATGAATACAAACACGATATTTTCAAATTTAAAATATATATTTGATAAAGAAGATCAATACAGATTTTACAAGATTGTTTGCTGAAAGATAAGGTAAGAAAAACCTATCTAAACAATCTTTGGTTACACATAACTTCTTAGCAAATAAGAAAAGAAATGCTGTAAAAAGAAGATCCTTTACTTAAGCTAGAAAATGCTCAAAGTAAGAATTAGGTTTTGAGAGTGAGTTGCGCGCACTCTGCATGGAGAAGAAACACTTCTATTTATACCCAGTGCATTAAATGAACATTTAATGCAATATGGTAGGGTTAGAGTGCGTGTCAACCCTTAAGAGGAAGGCTTATCTTTTGCTACAATGAATAGTACAAAAAGCACTATTCATGAGCATACATCCTTACCTAAAGTTGGTGGGTAATAGAGTCAACTAGTCGGCTCCGTACTATACCAACGTTTAGAAGGGTATGGGTTAGTCATTTGTGTGTATAAGGACAAGACAACAACAATCGTGCTAAGCAAGCTTCCTTTGATCGCTGAATGCTGAAATGACCTGAAGGTCTCTTCAGCATTCGCTGAGGCTTGAGCAGTCTTCACACATATGTAGATGGACTTGTAATCACTGAGTACCGCTTCAGATCACGTACTCGCCAGTCTCTAATCTTCAGTTTCAGTCTTCGACTTTGGCTGAAGGTTCTTTGGTGTGAGTGTTGTCTTCTTGAAGTATTTGTTGTCTCTGATTGAGTTACAATACAAGTTCTTCAGCGATCACTGAACAAGCTCAGTGATGATCGCTGTAACTAAAAAGACAGAAACATAAATACAACGTATAAGTGAAAAGGGATTATCATCAAATCACTGAGAGAGAGGATCAACAATTCTGGTGCTACCAACTCATTTGTTTCACACATGTACACTCGTTATATGGAATCTGTGCCTATAATACTTTCATAAACCTTTCACTATTGACACAGTCAAATCATACCACTCTTATAGATGACAAAGTGTATAGGGACTGTATTCTAGTATTAGACGATCACAAGTTCTCAGTTGATTTGGTACCGATAGATATTCATGGCTTCGATATTGTGATTGGGATAGATTGGCTAGCAAAGAACCATGCTGATATTATTTGCTCTCAGCGGATGATTCGGATACCGATCGTTAACGGTGGTTATTTATATGTTTAAACAATGAACTGGTGACATAAAGAAAATCTCTATATTAACAGCACGACATTATTTATCTAAGGGATGTTCTTCTTTCCTGGCATATGTTCTAGATGGGTCGAAAGAAGCGAAAAAGACTGTGAAAGATATACCGATCATATGCGAGTATCCGGATGTATTCCCCGATGATTTTCCTAGGCTACCACTGGACAGGCAATTAGAGTTGCGGATCAATCTGGTACTCGGTGCCGCTTCTATTGCTAAGACACCTTATCGTCTCACACCGACTGAAATGAAAGAGATGATGAGCCAATTACAGGAATTTTTGGATAAAGGTTTTATCTGACCGAGCCCTTTACCCTTTACCCTGGGGTGCCCTGGTCTTATTCGTGAAGAAGAAAGATGGTTCTTTTCAGAAGTGCATAGATTACCGGGAACTAAACATGGTAACCATCATGAATAAATACCTTTACCGCATATTGACGATCTGTTTGGCCAACTTAAAGGAGCAAGTTACTTCTCCAATTGACTTGAGATTGGGATACCATCAGTTAAGGGTACGTGAGGAGGATGTACCCATACAACTTTTCATACCCAATATGGACACTATGAATTTCTAGTTATATCGTTCGATTTGACGAATGCACCAGCTGCATTCATGGACTTAATGAATCGAGTGTGTCGTCCGATGCTCGATAAGTCTGTCATCGTCTTTATTGAAGATATATTGGTGTACTCTAAGACGAAAGCGCATCATGCTACACATTTTCGGGAGATGTTGGAATTATTGAGAAAGGAACAGCTATACGCTAAGTTTTCAAATGCGAGTTTTGGCTCTGTCAGGTACAATAATTAAATAATAAGAGTGAATAGTATAAGTTGTAACTTAATTATAGATAAATGTGAACTGTTACCATATAGGTACAATTCATAGGAGATACGATCTCTTGTCATGGAGTTTCTATGGATCCATCCAAGATCGAGGCAATACAAAAATGGGAACAACCCAAGAATGCCTTTGAAGTTTATAGTTTTCTCGGTCTAAGGGGTTTTTACCGACGGTTCATACAGGATTTCTCAAAGATCGTCGTATCTCTTACTTCTC